TATAATAATAATTACTGTTACTGTCTATCATTGTCAATGTATTTTACACCTAAATATGAGAGACGTGCCGCGTGACTCGTACGTGTGGGGAAATAAGTTATCTTAGAAGTCAAACTGTGAACGCCCACCTGAGATTTAGATCGAGTACTAGGTAATTTTTTTCCGAAGTGGTTGGTTCGACTTTTAAGAAATTCGAATTCTAATGAGTTTGACAACTGAGGTACCACTGTAATACAAAAAATAATTGCTTCCAACATCCATATTGCGCAACTGTGATAGTATGTGAATAGGGCCGTTTATTTATCATTAATCTTCACCCCGGCTACCTGGCTTTGAGGAGGGTGTCGGAGGCAAGGTCTACGGCCTTGCTGCGCTCTTGCATGGCGTCCTCGAGCACCCGCCACTGAGAAGACTTCTCCTCCGATGTCACCTGAGGGACAGATATGGCCGGATTGAACAAGCTCTGAATTCAGCCCCTGCTCCTATGAGTAAGTAACCCCCGATTGTTATCACAGGCGCACAGCTCCAGGTACCCACCTCGGAGTCGTCCATGGCTTCCTTCAGCTTCTGTGTGTGTACGGAGATGGTGTGGACAGCAGCATTCTGGGCCTCGATGGCACGCAGGGTCACATTGGCCGTGCGGCTCAGCGCCTCCTCCAAGCCGGCTGTCAGAGCTGCACAGAACCAGCCGGAAGTTACATCTGCCCTCAAGGGCCCAGAGGTGACATGGTTATTCTAGCAAGCATGGGATCTGAACCCAGGACCTTCAGGAAATGGGCACACATCCGAAAACCTGCTGAGCTAGGAGCGTGGGAATCTGATGGCTACAGCTGGATCCCATTAATCATCCCTGCCAGCCCCCAATTCACACAGGCGAGCTGAGTTCATTAAACGGCAAACGCAGAATGGAGGGAAATAGTGGGTGGGACAGTTCTGCTACTTTGACCTTACCCAATGACATGAACATAACAGATGATGTGACACTTCCCTTGGTTTGCACCAGCTGATCTCAAACCTGGGCCGTGCAGGTCATTCCTGCACTATTGTGTCACCTAGACGCTTTGGCGCTGAGCCCTGTCATCTGTGACACACTGGGGCCCATGCAGGGAGGGGGGGGGGCTTAGGCAGCTGATGGAAGTGCGACTCACACGAGGGCTCTGACGACAGACAGGCATCTCTGAGCCAGGAGTATCTCATAACCTTCACGCAACACGTCCAACATTCTCCGGTCTCACAGTCAATGTGAAATGTCATATGTGAACAAGGACAGGTATAAATCAGGAATGGTCATGTGACCTGTCCATGCAAAGCCATTTTAGAGCCAGCCAGCCACTATCAGGCTAACTCTGATACTCTGACTCCTGATTTTAAAGGGCAGGACGTTTCAGAGCCCAGTGCATTCTGGGTCACGGCAAGTATATGGCACGCACCCTCCATGGGTACATGTCACAGGTCATCAGGGGTAGGGGGCATTCAAAGCTTACAGGCCAGGAGAGCCTTCTCAGCCTGCTCCTGCTGGGTGAGTCTGGCAGCCACTTCCTCTGGGGGGCGCTCCTTGACTGCATGCGAGTTTTCATGGGCGCACTCTGTACACTCCGCTCCTACGGACACACGACAGGGCACGATTACTCACCATGCACACAATCACACACAGTTGCATCATATAGACATCACACATCACACTCAAGCACGACTGTTTAGCAAAAACATGCGTGAGCGTTAATGACTTTTCAGGTTCAGTGCAAAAGAGCCAGTACACGTACACACGCGCACACACACACACGCGCACACACACACACGCACACACACACACACACACACACGCGCACACACAGTAGGGTTAGCGTAGGCCTGGAGAGGCTGTCATGTGCAGACTTATGCAGTGAGGTAGCAGACGACCCCCAGACAAACGTGCCCCGTGAGTCAGTGAGCAGGAAAGAGCGGCAGCTACAGACTCAGCCAAACGCAGCCACAGCGCCCCCCCTCTGACCTGCAGGGGGCTCGGCCGGGGCATCAGGGCGGGGCTCTGCCTCAGCGTGGTGGGTGCCTGGCGCGGGCACAGAGGGCACCTCGCTGATGGCCGAAATGATGTGAGCCGCCTCCGTAGAGGCCTCTGGAACACAGCGACGAGACGTCAGCACGCAGAGGCACACGCTGCCCTTACGCGGTGCAGCCACAGGGGGTGCCGCTGCGCTATCAAGTCCCCATATGATTTCTGACTGTCTCTGGATTTTTTTTAAATGAGGGACACACACGTTTACGTGTGGGGCGTTAGAAAGCTGCAAACAGAAAATTATCATCATCTGAGTGAAGAAAATCCACAAATCAGTGACGATGTACGACAACTACTACTATTTACTAATTAATTACCAACACTAACATTCCAGTTGCCAATGCCAGCAGCTCGCAGCTAGAATAAAAGCTGATGAAGAAAGAACGAATAATTAGCTCCATAAATCCAGGCTAATGCTGCACTATAATTAATCAGGATAACATACCTTGGCCTCTTAAATATCAACCACTCAAACACTTTGCAGGAATTTCTTATAGAATAAATAATCCCTTACTGCAACACTGCAGATAAGTGCGAGGTAAGTGTAACATCAAATTATTCTGTCACCATAGGACAGCACAAACAACAGCCAAACAACAGCCGATTCCCCACACTGACCACAGCCACACTCCCCATAAAAATGGCCTCTTCACGTGCAAATTTTTACGTGGGAGACATTTCCATATCCAGCGATCAAACCGGTCCTGTCCTGACAGTTTGCTAATGGTCTGCACAGACGTATTTCCCGCCGTGTTAAATTAGTACACGCCAGTGAATGAAGTATGTTGTGTTAACAGCTCGTTTGATTGTTATCTGTCCACTCTGATAGCAAGAGGTGTAGATGTGGGGAATTATAACCTTAGTCTTTAACCATGAACTGCAGTACAATACTGACAAGTTAATACAAACCATATTAGTGCAGCATTAATACAGGTGTCACATCTTCATTAAACCCCAACCCATACTGCTCCAGCACGTTTTGCAGCCCCAGTTGTCCCACCTCGAACCCTGAGCTTGCAGTCTCCCGGCCCCCTTTGTCAGACACCCCTGGGTCAATGGAGGTTCCCTGCCCTGCTGGGTATTTGGGGGCTCGTCTGAATCTGCCGTTTAGACTCACCTAAAGGCGCCAACATCCCTCACCGAGATAAGGGCATCCGGAGCTGGTCACCATTTACAGCATTTGGCAGACGCCCTTAGCCAGTGTGTAGATGTTCAGAAGGGCCTGATCTTAACAGGTTCACTTTACCTGTGACCCGAGACCCCAGCCGCGCTAACCGACGCTCAGCCACCAGGCTCCGTGTGCTGCCCACACCCCCCCGCTAACCGACGCTCACCCACCAGGCTCAGTGTGCGGCCCACACCCCCCCGCTAACGAACACTCACCCACCAGGCTCAGTGTTGCGGCCCACGCCCCCCCCGCACCGACGCTCACCCACCAGGCTCAGTGTGCGGCCCACACCCCCCCGCTAACGGACACTCACCCACCAGGCTCAGTGTGCGGCCCACACCCCC